CTCTATCAGCATCTGCTTTGCCTACAGCAGGATCAGCGGAGTGTGTAAGTGAGCCGTGCAGAGTTCATTCTGACTGCACACACACACACACACACACACACACACACACACACACACACACACACTACTTCAGCTCAGTGTGTTTCTGTTGCGCTCCTCACAGTGATCATCACGCAGATCCACTGAAGGAGCACATCATCACTGCACAGTCCAGACAAGAGCAGCTGAGGTGTGTGTGTGTGTGTGTGTGTGTGTGTGTGTGTGTGTGTGTGTGTGTGGTGGGCAGTCAGGGGCGGATTTCACCAATAAGCAGGATAAGCGGCCGCTTAGGGCCCCAGGAAATCTGAGGGCCCCCAAATAAATAGCTAGAAGTATAAATGATGCCCATAACTTCTATATGACATGCGATTCTGTCCTGTTCTGTATGATGAGTGTCATATATAAAATAACTGTTTAATGTTTAATAAATCTGCGCAAATGTGTCCCCCATACCCCCTCAATCATGGAGAAGTCCAGCGGTCAGATCAGGCAAAGATTCAGTCTTATTATTGACTAACCTATTGAAAACAGATGGTTTAAAAAGTTTGACAAGATGCTTTACATGTTGGTATTAATATTTTGCATTTAGACAAAATGTAGAAAATGAGCGATTGGGTGAAATAAGACAAAACAAACAGCTAAATAAATCAATTCAAAATCAATCAAAACAGGAAAGGTGCATTGCGGAAGGTTTGGGCCCCTGGCTGGAATTGCTAAGGGTCCCCGATTCACTAAATCCGCCCTGAGTATAGTTAACCTGCAGCCACAGCAGACCTGCAGTGTGGGAAGCGCATGCTCAGTGATGTACAGAGCTTAAAGTCTGCCTGCGCTGCACACTGACACACCTGACACACCTGATCTGACAGTCCTCCTGCTTACTGCTGTTTTCCCTTCATTAACGGCGGTGAACTGCATTATGGGATGTTGATCTCTGCTCTGTCCACTTCTGATGTTGAAAATTCCCCTGTACAGTTTAACAAAGAGACTTGTACTGACATTTTAGTGGTTTTAAATAAAATAAGGAATAATATCTAGCGCAGGGGAGCTCAATCCTGTTCCTGGAGATCTCCCTTCCTGCAGATTTCATACCCATATCAAACACACCTGCCTGTAATTATCAAGTGATGTTCAGGTCCTAATTAATTGGCTCAGGTGTGTTTGATATGGGTAGCAACTGAAATCTGCAGGAGGGTAGAGTAGATCTCCAGGAACAGGATTGAGCACCCTGATCTGGAGGAATAAGAGTGTAGAAGAGCAGAACACGAGCTGCAGTATATCCGCATGAAAATCGAAAAGGAACAGAGAGCAAGATCCCATAATGCAGCTCAAAAGCAGAAATAAATGAGCAAATAAACAGGAGAATCACCGAACACTGAGATGTTTGGCATGCGGTGTGTTGTGCGGTGTGTTGCCGCTAATGTCAGTCGAGCAGATGAACACTTCATCACGACCTGCCCTGCGCCTTCCTTCATCATTAATAAACTCTGCTGAAGAGCACACTGCTCTGCTATTCCGCTTTGGGGAAGTCGAGAAAAGCCAAGAGCAGATATTTTCTTAATTGTCGGAGCAAAAGTAAATATTCCTCCGCCCTGCTGGAGCGCACAGCCGAGCGAGAGCCGACACACACCCGCTGCGGAGACTGGAGCTCCTGTGCCCTGACCACAGCTGCTCAAACCCATGCCGTCCTGCCGTATATCTGCACTGTGTCTAGTGGACATCATTAGCACAGACGCCTATAGAGTCCACACACACACACACACACACACACTCTCTCACTCCAGTTCCTCAGGAGTGTGTTTGGCCATATATGAGAATATGCGGCTTTCTGCGCTTCAGGAGCGAATGCGGCTAAACACATCACTGAATATAGTTTAGAATTAATCAACTGATAAAGCCTGAATAAACATTAGTTTAGAAGCTGAAACTTTATTCTTTTATAAACAAACTTTGTTTACATAAATTATAATTAACATGAAAACTGTACGACTATTGTAAAAATATATGGAATAATTTACAGTGAACAGCCAAAATAATTGATCCGCACAGCAGGCTTACTTAAAGACTAATTAATCTAAACATCATGCTTATTTCACCAGAAACATGTTGTGAAATTATAAGTGTTTACTGATGTTATAACGACGTGAAATAAATGCGTTTTAGTAGCCTATAATTATTAGCGTTAAACACACCGTTTGTGCACGGGATCTTACTATCTTAACCTTAACGTACACCTAATCCTAAACTGCAGTGTGTAAATATTAAAGCTATTTTGTTTTGTTTGGATAATTAACTAATTAAACTCTGGTAAGGTGTTGTGGTGCGCATGCTGCACTCATGCCGCAACATTCCGATATGAAGAGCAGAGCTGAGGAGATCTGAGATCGGCTTTGTCGGACTCCTGAAGAGGCTGAATAGAGAAAGTGAGCAAACACCGCCGTGAATGAGCTCTCCACAGTCTCCACACACACTATTATATGTGACATTCTTCTGCGTGTGTGTGTGCGTGTTATCTCCTGGCCTCGTGTTAAACTCTTACCTGTGACAGGCCCAGGTGTACTGAAGCGGTCTCTGAAATGTACAATATTTTACCGTCAGACGCGACGACAAACACAAACCCGTCCAGCGTCTGAAAATACAGATAACACAGCATTAATGAAACACACACACACACACACACTTTCGAAGAGTTCAAATATTAATCAGACGCAAGAGAAGGCTGTCATGTGTTTGTTAGAGAGTCGCACCTGCAGCAGGTGAGAGCCCAGATCTTTAGCCATGATGTCCAGAGGACTGACCCGCGCAGACTGACCCCAGGCCTCTCCCAGACCTCTCACACAAACACACACACACACAGAGAGAGAGAGAAACACACACACACACTCGTCACACGCACTTGTGAAAATAACAACACATTCCAAAACAAATCGCCGAGTCCTACAAACAGATCGCGGACTCTCATGTGAATTATTGTTATTATCGGGCTTTATTTCGTATGAAGACTAATATTTTGTGGGTTAAACTATTCTTTTTTTATTGGCCAATTTAAATCGCGCAGTTACACGGAGGAATTAATCTCGAAATTGTCGGGAGTATTTTTTTCTATGGTGTTTTATAATAAATAGGCCTACATAAATTATCCCGATGTCAACGAAAAAAATTAATATAGGCCTGTGTGTGTGTGTGTGTGCGTGTGCGCGTGCTTTAAACTTAATATATAAAACTGACTATTTGCTTTTTAGTGCGACACATTTTGCATTATACGTGTCGTGTGTATAACCTAAAATAGTAAACAAAAATGACACTGACATAAATCCATGTACAACATTAAGGCTGAATCTACAGGCTCTGTAACATCAGCATGAGCACTATTTTTAGTTTAATTGTGATCATTTATTCAGTGTTTCACTGTAAGATCAGTTGTCATGTATTTATATGAAATATTTTGAGCAGCGACGGAAAATAAAGAGTAAATACTGAAGCCGTAGATTAGCCTTACATTATTTTGAGCAAATAAACATAAATTAATCATCACAAACGAACGGAAAGTGTGTGGAGTCAGTCATGATCTCTGAATTTCTTTAGTTTCTGCATTATAAACCAGAATTCAGTTGATTAAGCACCACATCTGATTGATTGATTAGCATGCATTTAGATAATATTATCTTTATTATTATTATTATTATTATTATTATTATTATTATTGTTATTATTATTATTATTATTATTATTATTATTATTATTATTACTAATATTGGTTGCGTGGAATGGGTTGCGCTAGTTGGCGCATTAATAATGTTGATTTTCATATATTCAGTTACATTTGGATGTAAATATTATTACAAATTAATTTGAAACAATTAAAATAAAGAACTTTAGTGTATTCCGCAGCACTGTACATCTGATGTATTTAGATAATATAATTTGTATTAAATTATACAAATAATAATTGTTTTATTATTAGGCTATTATTGATGTTGCTTTAAATGGTTAAACGTTAGTTAACGCATTAATACTGTACATTTCTATTCATTTAAATATAAATATTGATGTAAATATTTACCGAAACATAATTAAAATATTTGAGCAACAAATAAAAAGGCACTGCATGTGAGACGAACTTAAACTGAATGTGAGTTCAAGTTTCCACAGTCTCCATTAAAGCAGACTCTCAGCAGTCGATATGGTCTCACCATCGGGGAAGACGGCGCGCATCTTCAGGTAGCTGGTGGTCAGCCGGATGATGGACGCCTTGTCCAGCTGAGAGGTGATGGCGGAGGGGAGCGGCAGCAGCTTGGCCAGCTCGTAAAATTCACCATTTTCCTTTTCTCTTCGTGTCTTCGCGGCGTTCTTGGACTTTTCCTTCATTTCTGGTTTATTGAGTAGACCGACACGAGCCGTAAAGCGTCGCCGACCTCCGCTACTCTCCGCCGGCCGCTAAAGGCATGCTCACCGCCGTCCGTGTCGGTCGGTTTCACCGTTTCTGTGTCCGGGTAAACCCGCCTTTATGGATAAGACATTTAATCCTGGCCTTTGTGAATTAATTAAAACGACTTCACTGCTAAAACACTCCTTCGACATGGACGAAACTATTTGCACAGTTTTTTCGCTAAATGCAGCCGTCTGAGAACTTTTATACGCGGAGAGGAAACTGAGCCCCGTTTACCGAACATCTCGAGTTGAGCCTGAAGATTCAGAAAAGACAGCGGTACAATAACCCGTTACACAGCGCTAATTACAGACTGATGTCAGACGGCCACTCATCAGATAAGCTCTGAAGAGGAGTTCACGGTGATTCGGCTGATCCATCAACCCCAGGGGGCTCGAGTTTAACTTTTACATCGCTGTTTATTCCTCCTGACGACCGAATATTCCGACCAGAGACCTCCGGTGCCCTTCAGCCCTCCACTTATTCAGCGCTTATTCTCCATCTGAGGGAGAGAGGGATGGAGAGAGAGAGGGAAGAGAGGAGGATCAATGGACTCGTGACGTCACGGCCACTTCTGTGTCCAGAAGCGGCTGAGTTTGTTGAATTATGGGATGTCTTTCTCTCTCCACATTAGTTTAATTGTCTCCTCTATTAATGTTCAGTGACCTCAGCGTGCACGCGTCTCTCTCTGCTGTTTCGGGGCGCGCGCGCGGCTCCGAGTCTCTGCAGATGTGTTCATCTATCAGCGCAGACCCAGCGCCGGATTTCTCCAACAAGCCGTGTAGGGCCCCAGGAAATCTGTGGGGACCCAATAAATATCTAGAAGTATAAATTAACTATAAACCACATATAACATCGTTTTCTATCATATTGTGTATGGTGGAGTTAAACAAATACAGTTTTAATCTAATTAATTCTTATTTAATATACAATCAAATATAATATTATTATATATATTATTATACTATGTACTGTTGTGTAATGATAATATCACGAAATAAAATATCCACCATGGAGCAGTCGAGCAGTCAAATTTATAATATAGATTTTAATTTTAGTTGCAAATTCATTTTATGACAATTAATAATTTCAAATGTAAAAATTGCATTAATTTAAGAAGACGAAAAGAATATTGAAAAAACAGCAAAATAAATAAATAATAAATAAAAGCTGAAAGGGTGCATTTCAGGATTTGGGCACTATGGTTGGTCTAACTGACATGTTGAACATCATCACTGCAGCTCATCCTGCTGTTGCAGCTGCCCATGCTGACCGTGTCGAGCTCGGATGATTACTGAGAGGAGCAGAGGATTCTGGATATCTGCATCACTGAAGCACACCGGGTCTCCTGCTCCACCACCGGGATCATCTGCCTCTCAAACCCAAACCTGCGGCCCAGATCATTAAACACAGATTAAATACTTCAATATTAATCTATTAATGAAAGAAAACTGCACTATATGAGTTCATCAACTATTATTATTCATTCTGTAATCACATATTAACATTATAATAATCTAGGGTGTTGCTGTTTGCTGCTGGTCCATTAAAGGTTTTAATGATGAGTTTACTACTGACACGAGCCAGAGACTGCGCCCATTCATTCATTTTCTTTTCGGCTTAGTTCCTTTATTAATCAGGGGTCGCCACAGTGGAATGAACCGACAATTTATCCAGCATATGTCCACAGCAGATGCCCAATACTGGGAAACACTTATACACACTCATACACTATGGACAATTTAGCTTACCCAATTCCCCTATAGCGCATGTGTTTGGACTGTGGGGGAAACCGGAGCACCCGGAGGAAACCCACGCCAACACGGGGAGAACATGCAAACTCCACACAAAAACACCAACTGACCCAGCCGAGACTCAAACTAGAGACCTTCTTGGTGTGAGGTAACAGTGCTGACCACTGCACCGCCTCAGTCTGCGTTTCTGAGCTAAAGCAGATCTCAGTGTTTTGCACAGAATCTGATTTACAGTCAGCCAATCTTACAACATAATCTGCCAATAAAATGTCAGGTCTACTGTTATAGAGCATAACATTAAACATATAACATTTCAACAATATTTATCGTAACATTTGAGTGAAATCGCATTATTTGTGATGCCTTTATACAGTATTACCCTGCTGATCTGTTTTCAGATGAAACTAACTGTGGCCTATTCTCAGTGCAGAGCACGAGGAGCTGCTCTCCCTCAGCGTCGACGCTGCAGCGCCCTCTGCTGTTTACAGGTGCACACACTAATTGTGTTCAGGTGTGAACTATCAGCGCCGCTGTGTGTGTGCGTGTGCGTGTGTGTTTACTGAGGCTGCTGTAAAACACTTCATCATCATCATCAGACACACACTCATGATCCAGAACAGGCTGAGGTGAGTAAACTGCTGTTAGTGGAGGTTTGCTGTGTGTAAACGCGGTCTCTGGAGAGCTTCTGCTGTTCGGCGGCATTAGAGGAGCCATTCATTATGAGGGAAAGCCAGACTGCTGCACCCGCGTGAGTGTGTGTGTGTGTGTGTGTGTGTGTGTGTGTGTGTGTGTGTGATATGTCAAAGCAATGTGAGTCGGAGGAGAAGATAGTTTTGTTTTATGGACTGTTAATTTTAATATTTATATTTCATTATTGATACTGTAACTCATGTGATGAGGGTATATATTCAGTTAAAGACAGAATTATTCCCCTTCCTGTTCAACTTAATTCTTTAGTTTTCCCACAATTTCTGTGTAACGGAGAGCAGATTACTCCAGCACATTTCTAATCATAACAGTGTTCATAACTCATCTTTAATAGCTGATGTGTTTCCTCTTCATCATGATGACAGCACATAATATTAGTCTAGATGTTCTTGAAGACACTAGTGTTCAGCTTACAGTGACATGTAAAGGCTTCACTAGGGTAATTAGGGTAACTAGGCAGGTTAGGGTAATTAGGCAAGTCATTGTATAACAGTGGTTTGTTCTGGAGACAATCCAACACTAATATTGCTGAAGGGGGCAATAATATTGAGCTTAACAACCTATTTTCCTCCACTCAAACTAAAACAAACAGACTCAAAAAGCACAATGGCAAAAGCTTTTCAGGTTAAACTAGATTTAGTTGTTTTGACACATTTAAATGGATTAAACATGAATTAAGTTGCCCTAAAAACATCTCAGGAACTGTGTTATTTCCACACATTTAATTGTAGTTTGAGCTACAGATATATATCTATATACAGCGCATGTGGAGAGTGTTGACTGCTTCACTTATACAGCCTTATTCCACAATGGACTAAACTGATTGATTTCCTCAACATTCTACACACAATCCCCCATATTGACCATGTGGAGAAAGAGTTTTAGAAATTAGCAGATTTATTAATAATAAAAGAGCTGAAGAATCACCTGTACATCAGTATACACAGCCTTTTCCTTCTTTCACGGATGCTCGGTATATCTTTGACTGTATCTATGAACCTTCAGGGATGTTGGTGCCGCTGTGTCGGCCTGTGCCTCCTCCTTCAGCGGCCCTCACCTGCAGATCAGCTGAAGAACAGAATCCACACTGGAACTGATCATTCACTGCAGTTACTGCACTGAAGATGAGTGCTTGCAGACACCAGCTATACGGCTGCGGTTAAACAAGCAAAGGAAGTGTAGGAATGTTCAGCTCCATCTGTTTATTTCAATTCAGCTGCTGCAGCCACTGATCTTCAGTTTAGTGAAGCCGCTGAGCCATTCTGTTCAGTGCAAGAGCTCTGGAGAACACTGGAGAACACTCACTGTGGAGAACACTGGAGAACACTCGCTGTGGAGAACACTGGAGAACACTCACTGTGGAGAACACTGGAGAACACTCGCTGTGGAGAACACTGGAGAACACTCGCTGTGGAGAACACTGGAGAACACTCACTGTGGAGAACACTGGAGAACACTCGCTGTGGAGAACACTGGAGAACACTCACTGTGGGTCACTCAGGAGAACACGGCTCTGCGTCTGTAATATCTCAGAACCTCTGCTGGCCCGGGGACTAATAACTCCTGCTCTGTTTGGTGGCCCCTGCCTGCACTGTGTTCCTGCTGATGGCAGACAGATGCTCCGGAGTGCGTGGGTGTGTGTGTGTGTGTATGTGTGTGAGAGAGAGTGTGTGTTCAGCAGATGTGTAACGTTTCTCCAATCTTCTATTGTCCAGTTTTGGTGAGTCTGTGTGAATTGTAGCCTCAGTTTCCTGTTCTTAGCTGACAGGAGCGGCACCCGGTGTGCTCTTCTGCTGCTGTAGCCCATCCGCCTCAAGGTTGGCCGTGTTGTGTGTTCAGAGATGCTCTTCTGCAGAGCTCGGTTGTAACGAGTGCTTATTTGAGTTACTGTCGCCTTTCTATTAGCTGGAACCAGTCTGGCCATTCTCCTCTGACCTCTGACCTCATCAACAAGGCATTTGCACCCACAGAACTGCCGCTCACTGGAGATTTCCTCTGTGTCGGAGCATTCTCTGTAAAGCCTAGAGATGGTTGTGCATGAAAATCCCAGTAGATCAGCAGTTTGGGTTAGGGTTCAAAGTGTGTTCAAGTGCAGAATATAGAAGTAACTTGTTTATGAGCAAGGTGAAAATATACAATCACAGTACAGTAAAAGGAGAAAAATTAACAATAAATAATAATTAAAGATATGCAAAAGGGGATATACACATTAAAGCAAAATATAATATGATTTACAAACTTCATTTGTTTTAAAGCAGGGGTCTCAGACTCCATTCCTGGAGGCAGTAGCTCTCGACACTTTAGCTCTAACCATCTCCAGCTCACACTTGCTTAATAGTGTCCAGTAGTCTTGAACACCTTGATTATTTGATCAGCTGTGTTTGATTTAAGGTTGGAGCAAAACTGTGAAGAGCTGCGGCCCTCCAGGAGTCCAGTTTGGAACCTGTGCTTCAAAGCTTTTCCCCAACACACAGGACAGATCACGCCTGCAGTTCTCCATGATGGACGTCCAGCACTCTCCAGCCTCCGGCGCAGGACTTTCAGCAGTGAAGATTAAACCACACTGAACTGAACTTCAGCTCTGAACACTGGACTTCACTAGAACTTGTATCTTAAGTGGCTTTGACACAATCTATATTGTAGAAGTGTTACACACACACACACACACACACACACACACACATATATATGTATGAACTGAATCTGACATGACGAGCGCGCCTCAGTCACTGAACACACGGTGGCGCTACTGCAGCAGAAATCACAGACACGCTAAACAGACGCTAAACATGCATTCAGGAGTTAGTGTTGGGTAATTAACTGTATTAATATCCACACTAAAGTCTGACTATAGCTGGACTAGCTGTAGCGTTAACTGACAACACAATGAGAAGATCCTCAGTTCAGTATGGCGGTAATACAGCAGTACAGCACTGTACAGTCCATATCTGCTGTGAAGCTGACACGAATCCCGGTAAATGTTGGTGTTTTACAGCTTTATTAATCAACTCGACCCTTCATGTGTGTCAATCATCATCAGTGCTCACTGTTGACACAATACCGCCGCTGTTGGAGCTCTGCTGGCTGTTTATTGACAGTGTGGGTGAGCTGATAGTGTTCGCTGTAAACACTGTCCGGTTACTCAGATGTTCCTGCGGGGATCAGGACTGAAGCTCCTCCCAGACAAACTTCCTCAAACTCGGGCAGACCTCACACACACACTCACACACACACACACACACGGCCGAATGACGAGCAGATAAGAGTTAAACAGCGAGCTTTGCGGATTCTCCCCCCGCTGGATGAGGCTCGGGGGTCGGCAGGATGTCCTGGACCGAGGCCTTCAGGAGCATTTCCAGGTTATTCTCCCGGAGTAGACCAGCGGACAGCGCGGACTCGGAGAGGTTAGTCCGGCAGAGCTGCTGCTCATGAGTCCCGCTGGAGAAGCTCACTTCTGCTTACACTACACCACTAGTGTACTGTGTTTACTGTGTTTTCTTACTTGGTCTGCTCTGTGCCAATCAGAACACACACACACACACACACACACACACACACACACACACACACACACACATTTCCTCTCTCCAGCAGTCACCGGTGTGTGTGTGTGTTTGTGTGTGTGTGTGTGTGTGTGTGTGTGTGTTTGAGTACAGCAGTGTTGTTGATGATGTGAGGTTAATGATGTCATGGTGCTGTAGTGTAGTGTGCTGATAATAGTGTACTAGTGAGATAGTGTAGTGCAGTGGTGATAGAGTAATGATAATAGTGTGTAACAGTGAGGTGTTCAGGGCGTGTCTCTCTGGAGGGAATCTGATCTCAGTCTACAGGTGAAGAGGCAGGTGTATCTGTGGTATCTGTGTCTGCAGGTGTATGTGTGTGTGTGTGTGTGTGTGTGTGTGAGAGTTCATCACAGGTGTTTTGCATACTGCTCTGTTTTGTTTGTTTTCCTCAGACAGGCTGAGGCTGATGGATCCACATGTACCTGTAGTGTTCCTGAAGATGGTGCAGATCAAACACCTGGAAAAGCAGCAGCACAGGTAATATACCAGACACACACACACACTAGTGCTGGCAGAATATGTCGATACGTGTGTACTGTGCATATTTATCTTGTATATGCATATAAAAACAAACCTGCAGGTATAAATCTGAAAATGTTTAGTTATAATTAAAAATGTAATACTTATATCAGATACAAATTATATATGAATACACATGTGAATATTTAGCTATTGTGTGTGTGTGTGTGTGTGTGTGGTTTGTACCTGGTATGTTTTTCTCTGTTGATATGGTGCATGCAGAGAGTGTTGATAGCGCTTCACTGTTTCCACATTAGTTTATGTTACAGTCTTATTCTAAAATGGATCAAATTGATTGATTTCCTCAACATTCTACACACAATCCCCCATAATGACAATGTGGAAAAGAGTTTTTGAAATTGCTGCAAATTGATTAAAAATAAAACACCTGATAAATCACCTGTGCATCAGTATTGACAGGCTTTGCCGTGAAGCTCTAAGTTGAGCTCAGGTTCATTCTGTCTCCACTGGTCATTCTGGAGATGTTTTATCAGCTTCATTGGAGTTCAGCTGTGCTCAATTCAGCTGATGGACATGATCTGAAAAGGCTACACCTGTCTATATAAGGGCCCAGGGTCGACAGTGCATGTCAAAGCACAAACCAAGCATGAAGACAAAGGAACTGTCTTCACAAGGTTGGGGAAGGTGACAGAAACATTTCTGCTGCTCTGAAGCTCCAGTGAGCACAGCGGCCTCCATCATCCGTCAGTGAAGATGTTTAACCAGCAGGACTCTTCCTAGAGCTGGCCGGACATCTAAGCTGAGTGATCGGGGGAGAAGCGTCTGGGAGGTGATCAATAACCCGATGGTCACTCTGTCTGAGCTCCAGCGTTCTTCTGTGGAGAGAGGAGAACCTTACAGAAGGACAACCATCTGTGCAGCAATCCACCAATCAGGCGTCTGTATGGTAGAGCGGGCAGACGGAAGACACTCCCCGCCTGGAGTTTACCATCTGAAGGACTCTCAGAGCATCAGAAACTAAACTCTCTGCTCTGATGAGACTCAAACTGAACTGTTTGGAGTGAACGCCAGGCGTTACGTTTGGAGAACAGCAGGCGGCGCTCATCAGCAGGCTAACAGCATCCCTACAGTGAAGCATGGTGGTGTTGGCATCATGCTGTGGGGATGTGTTTCAGCAGCAGGAACTGGAAGACTAGTCAGGATAGAGGGAAAGATGAATGCAGCGATGTACAGAGACATCCTGAATGAAGACCTGCACAAGAGTGCTCTCCACCTCAGACTGGGGCGACGCTTCATCTTCCAGCAGGACAATGACCCAAAGCACACCGCCAACATATCAATGCAGCGGCACAACAACAACAACTCGGTGAATGTGCTCAAGTGGCCCAGCCAGAGCCCAGACCTAAATCTTATTAAACATCCCCGGAGAGATCTGAAAATGGCTGCACACCGTCACTTCCCATCCAACCTGATAGAGCCTGAGAGGAGCTGCAAAGAGGAACAGGCAAACAAAAGACTCGAGGCTGTAATCACTGCCAAAGAAGCATCAACAGAGTCTAGAGCAGGCTAGAGAAGGCTGTGAACACTGATGTACATGTGATTTTAGAGCTTTTTATCTTTAATCAATCATCAACAATTTCAAAAACTCTTTCTCCACATGGTCATTATGGGGGATTGTGTGTAGAATGTTGAGGAAATCAGTGAAGTTAATCCACTGTGGGGTAAGGCTGTAACAGAAACACGTGTGGGAACAGTGAAGCGCTGTCAACACTCTCCACATGCGCTGGATTCTCTGTGTCTGCTGTTGAATCAGAGCACATCAGTGGTGTTCGGGAGGGAAGGGGTTAAGGGTTTGTGTGTGTGCTGGAGGAGGAGGAGCGAGGGAGACACACACACAGATATATAGAGGGGTGTGTGTTTCCGGCTGCTGCAGACGGCTCTTCTCTGTGTTTCAGTGTTCTGGCAGCACCGGAGGGCATGAGGGTGTCTCCGCAGCCCCCCGCGCCCCCACAGCGCCCCCTGCGCACACACTCCCGCTCCAGACCAGCCGGACAGCGCACACACATACTCTCAGCAGCACTGTGGAGCCGCCCGGGGGCCGGTCACAGCGCACACACACACAGTGAGTCATCTGCCTTATCAGACGCCGGCATGAGTGTGCTTTAAATGTGCTTTATGGGGACGCTAGTGTGTTTAATATGAGGGGGGGTAACTCAGTAAATATGCCTGATCAGGTTTATGAGGACACTGCCCACATCCCATAATGAACATGAGCAGAAATCTGAGGAAAGAGGAGCCTGTAAACCACATATACAGCAGTGTGTGTGTGTGTGTGTGTGTGTGAGAGACTAGTTCCTCAGACAGAAGAGAAATGAATAATAAATGATGTGCAATCTTAATTTAATGATTGTCTATGTAAACGAGGCGTTTCTCTGTGTGGTGTGTTCTGTTTTATCTGTGTGACGGAGAGTGTGTTTGTGTGTGTCTGAGTGTGTGTGAGAGAGAGACGGAGTGTGTTCTGTGACTCCGACTGTCCTCATTACATCTCTGTGTGTCGGCACCAGTCAATGATGTCATCAGTCATGTGAGGATGGCGTTGTGGATCACTCACACACACACACACACACACACACACACACACACACACACACACACACACACACACACACACACACACACACACACACACACACACACACACACACACACACACAGAAGCTGCTGATTGACTGAATGATTCTCCTCTGCTGATTGGGGATCATATCAGCACTTTATTGAGCTGTAAACACGGCTTCTGTTTGTCACTGCGCTCTCCTTACAGCAGCTTTACAGCTCTGTGTGTGTGTGTGTTTATGTATGTGTATCTACAGGGGCTGGACAGTGAAACTGAAATCCTGCTGTTAGAGTGCAGTAGATGATCAGCTGCTGTAGCTCCTCCTCCTCAGTGCTGTAGGTCCTCCTCCTCACGCCCTATTCACACGGGGCTTCAGCGTCAACGCTTGACAGAGGGCGTGTCTGAAGTTGGAGCTGAAACGATCGTCATAGAAGCGTCAGCCAATGAAATTCAGTCAGCAATAGGCCACTGTCTGAGCTGTGTATTTGCATACAGCGATCTGATTGGCTGACGCTTCCGTCGGCGCTTGAAAAGTTGAGCTGGTCCCAACTTCTGCAGCGAGGAACGCTTCTGAAGCGGCGCCGACGGATCCACAATGCAGTTCGGCAACGCCTGACGTCACCCATTCAAAGTGAATGGGAAGCGTTGACGCTGACGCCCCGTGTGAATAGGGCGTCAGTGCTGTAGCTCCTCCTCCTCAGTGTAGTGATTGACAGACAGGAGTCCTGCACAGTGGTCAGAGGGGTTGTGAGCTGTTCTTCTTCAGAATAGTGTTCAGGTCACTGCTGATGCTGCTGGAGGAAAACCTCTCCTGACTCGCTCCCCTAAAACAGCCCACAGTGCTCAATAATGTTTAGATCTGGGTACTGTGAAGGCCATGGGAGATGTTCACCTTCACTGTCATGTTCATCAGAGCGCTCTGTCTCCAGTCCTGCTGTGTGTGTCGCCGCATCATCATCCTGA